GCCGACTTCGACTCAGGATGCGCACGATTGTTGGGCCGCGTGGGATTTCTTGAGTATACTTGAACTCGATCCTCTTCTCGACTAAGGCTACTTATTCTTGGTTCATAAAGGAAGATCAATGGCCATTCCTGAAATAAATGGGTCGAGACTTAAACTAGAAAAATATTCGTCTTCGAGATATCATTTGAATAATTCTCGACTTAAACTCGAACTTGGAGCTTATAAATTGAATAGCTTACGCTCGGAAGCTACAATCGAGCATTTATTAGCTTACACTCGAAAACTGAAGTCGCACTGATTATTAATAAGATACGTGGGTGTTACAGGTAATCAACAACGTCTCAGAGTCTGCGAATTTTAATCCGCAAGTGTTCAACTCTAAATCTCTAGATCCATTGTGCATATGTTTATTGTTGCTATTGAATTTGTGACTTGTACATAATGAGATCCTCACCGATCCCAACAATTTTAAATACATTTGAAAAGAAAGGAGAGTGGTCAGGAAGAGTCTTGTTTTGAAGGGTTTAGAGGGTTGGTCAAGGACTTATGTGTTGTGGAAACTAGAACAATTGGTCACCCTTTTAGTTGGAGAAACAATAGACATGGGATAGAGTTTGTAGAAGAAAAGCTAGATACATTTTTTCTCTCCTATAACTGGAATTTAATGTTCCCCAATGCCCAAGTTAAGCACATTTATTTATTATCTTCAAGCCACAATATGATTATCTGGGAAAATTTTGTCTCTTTTGAAATCCAAAAAACAGATTTTCTTTTTATGGTAGATGGACCATTTTGGAAGGGTACCAGAAAACAGTTGAAAGGGCCTGAAATAGCTATGTCTATAGCCCTAAACTTTTCTGAATTCAAGATAGGATTAAAGATGTTAGGAAGGCCCTGTTGAGATAGAAGGCTAATAAGAAAAAAAATTCTGCAGTGGCTATTGAGAGGTTGAAACAAAAATTGGATTTTCTAGATAAGCAAATGGGGGAGGGGGGGGATAGAAATTGGTCAGAGAGGATTAATTTAAAATAAGAACTCCATGAAGCTTATAAAAATGAAGAAATCTACTGGAGGTAAAATCTAGGATAACTTGGCCAAAAAAAGGGGACATGAACTCTAGGTATTTCGAGGAATAGGAGAAAAGACCAACTGCCTAGACAACCTTAGTAAACCTGATGGGAATAGGTGTGCACATGATAAAGAGGTTTTGATTAAGCTGCAAAAGTACGTTGAGAATATGTTGAAATCCTTTAACCCTCTAGACATGTGGGAGAGATGAAAATTAAGGCTGCCTTGGTTGAAATGAAACAAGATAAGGCCCCTGGAGCTGATGGTATGACAACTCAATTTTTCCAGAAGTCTTGGTCTAACATTAGTCATCATTTAACTCTTGATGTTCAAATCTTTTTTCCAAAAAACGGAGGATGCCTAAGGGTTTTGGTAACGCAAAACACTCCGACCGGCTTGAAATCAGCTCTTCTTCCTCCTCCTCGCCGGTAGAACGCCGCGTACCTGCAAAGAACTCTCACACCAGGGGTTTTTCCGGTGAAGAGCCTTCGATGCTTAAGTCAGTATGTGTTTAATCAATTCTCCAAAGTCAAAAATGGATAAATCGTAAGTAACAAGAAAGACTCACTCCTATATATATAAGAGTGAGATACCTGCCCTAGGAGCTGCCCAGATTTGGTGAGCTGTCAGCCCAACTCTATCTGGATCTGCCCGTTCGTACACACGCAGTGTGTGTATGTGTCAGAGGTGGTTATCGCCACTATTGCTCTGCACCAATGTCTTCTCGCCACGTGCCCCTCTGAACCGAGAGTAATTATTCCCTTGAATATTTCTTGAGATTTCCTGACAAAGTTCACGCGCTTTCTCGCATTTACAGCAAGCCCTCGATTGCTATTCACTCGCTGAGTGGTCGATCAAATGGGTTACCCTCTGGTAGGTCGATCTTCGACCAGGTCTACTCCGATGTTCGACCACTTCCTTTCAGTCTGTGACTGCTTGACTGATGTAGCATTTCTAATATTGGGTTTGTACGACCGGTCTAGTGAACCAGTATATTCTTTAGGCATATAATATCCATATCAGGTTTGAACTATAATGTTATAACTTTTATCCCTAAGAAGGCTAATCCTGCGTGTGTCGCTGACTTTAGACCAATAAGCCTATGTTCTGTGGTGTATAAAGTCATTGCCAAGATCATAGCTGATAGGATCAAGCCTGTTTTGTCTTGTTGTATCTCTGCCTCCCAATCTGCTTTTGTCTTTGGGAGGCAAATCCTTGATAATGTAGTTATAGCCTCTAAGTGTATTCATTTTCTGAATAGCAAAAGATAGGAATAAAGAGAACTACATGGCTATTAATCTAGATATGGCCAAAGTTTATGATAGAATAGAATGGGCCATTGTTGCTAAAGTGTGTTGGAAAATGGCCTTTTCTGAGACTTTCATCTCTTGGATCTTATCTTGTATTACCTCAACTTCTTATTCTTTTAATGTGAAAGGGATAACTCAAGGTTTTGTGCAACCCTCTATAGGTTTTAGATAGGGAGATCCCTTTCTTCTTATCTATTTCCTATTATTTCTGAGGCTTTCTCTAACCTTGTCAAACAGGCTTGTGCTAGAGGGAGGTTTAAGTGTTTAAATGTTGGTATGTTTGCTCCTGTTATTTCTCATCTCTTTTTCCTTGATGATGCAATCCTTTTTTGTAAAGTTGATCTTGCTCATGCTAATCTAATCTTGATTCTGGTTAGAAGGTCAATCTTGATAAATCTTCAATGTTCTTTTTCAAAAATACCTATGTGTAGTCTGTGGCTGTAATTTGTAATGTGTTATCTGAAATTTCTAGAGTGACATCCTCTAAATACTTGAGATTATCCCTGGGGATTGGGAAAAATAAGAGAGAGATCTTCAAATTTGGTATTGACTGTGTGAGGGAGAGAGTAAATAGTTGGAAAGACAAATTCCTGAGTGAAGCTGAGAGTTGATCAAATCAATGTTACTTGTACTTCCCATTTATATGATGTCTTGCTTGAGGACTCCTTCTAGTATCATTAAGAATATTTGTAAAAAAATAGTTAATTTTTGGTGGGGGTAAAAATGAGAGTAGAGGGAACAAAATGCATTGGGCTTCCTGGGAAAAACTAGTTAGGTCTAAAGAGGATGGTGGGCTGGGTTTAAGAGAGCTTAGTGACTTTAATGAGTCCTTATTAGTGAAATAGTTGTGGAGAATAATTTCTAAACCTACTAGTAGGGTCATGAAAGGGAAATACTTCTGGAATAAAAGGATATGTGAGATTCAGTTTAAGGGGTCTGATTCTTGGTTGTGGAGGTGTTGGCTTGGAGCTTGGAAATATTTGAATTTGGATTTAAGGTATCAGGTGGGGGACGGAAAATCTATATTAGTCTGGGGTTCACTTTGGCTTTCTAACAACTCTACTTTCAAGCCTACTTGTAGCTTTCAAGGGGACAAGGGTAGAGTAGAGAGAGTTAGTGATTTGATTGATCAAGAGACTAAGGTCTAGGATAAGGACTTAATTTTGTAGACTTTTTACCCTCTAGATGCAGACATCATTCTCAAGATCCCAAGCAGTCGCCATGGGGGCAAAGATTTCTTGGTTTGACATTGGAGTAACAAAGGCTTGCTCACTATGAAACAATCAGGAAAAACAAGAAGCATTCTGGGCAGGAGGCTGGAACAAGTGATGAAAATGCTGGGTTGAAGAGGATGTGGAAAGCCACTTGGGGCCTGCTAATTAAGTCCAAAATAAATTTCTCCATTTGAAGGTGTTTGCATGGTTTCATTGCTTCTAAAATGCAGCTGGCAAAGAAAAGAGTGGAACTGGATACTTGGTGTGAAATGTGTGGTGAACAAGAGGAAAGTACTGAGCATATGTTACTGCATTGTTCTAGGGCAGCATAAAAGAGCCGAAAAGAAGAGAATTCAACAACTGATAGACTTTGCCTATCAGCTTATGTGCTTTGGAGAATTCGAAAGAGCCGAAACTCTTGGCAGTTGAACAATGTGAAAGGAAAGGGAGTCAAACGTTGCTGCTGGTGCAAGAGAGGAGTGGTTGGAAATTCTTGAATGTGTAAGAGGTTCTTTTCATAAGACAACACCTTCTCAGAGTCCAATGGTTGCTCAGGTAGAAAATTTTTCCAGGGAGGTAGGACATGTGTGTTGTTCTGTCAGTGCCTTACTTTCTACATGAGAAAACATTGGCGTTGGATATGTTGAGAAAGGATCGCGTGAGGGGCTGTAAGGTTGCAGTCCTGGTTGTTGCTAGGTCTTTATATGTTGCTGCAGGCCTTGTAATTAAGACTGCAAACGAACCGAGCGGCTCGCGAGCGATCAAGTGAAAGCTCGACTCGAGCTCGAGTTTGACCGAACTCGAGTCGAGCACGAGCGGCTCGAGCACGAACTCGAGTCGAGCTCGAGCCTATATTTTTCCTTGTCGAGCGGCTCGAGATATATATTAAATTACTAAAATACCCCTTATATATATTAGCATAGGTGCTTAACGGTAATTTTACTTTTCCATTTAAGAATTTTTTTAGCCCAACTTGAGCCGAGCTCGAGCATTTTGATTTCGAGTCGAGCTCGAGCCTCATAAATCGAGCTCGATGAGCTCGAGCTCGAGCAGCTAAAAAAAAAAAAAAAATTCAATCATACTCGATAAGATCAATGTTCGACTCGGCTCAGCTCGTTTGCGTCCTTGTAATGTAGTGTCCAATTTGATACCTGGTTGTCAAATAGTCTTTGTGATTTGCAATTTGTCATTAGGATTGGAACTAAGAAAAAAAAAATGCAAGTTAGCATGGATAAGTTAAGCCGCAGGCGGACATCTCGAAGTAGTTAACAATAAAAATACCAGATCCGCTTCTACCCGTTCTGCTACCTCGTCTGCTTTGGCTTAACACCGAGAAAAATTACCTCCGTCTAATATAATCACTTGGTTTCCGTTGGATCATTTTCTATTTGATCGAGATTTGGCAGCTATGGAGTCCGCCACTCTTCTCCGTTCTTTCAATAGTTAGTTCACTCTCATTCCGTTCATGCGTCTCTGTATGTTGTTTTGATTACTCCAATGCGCACTTCTGATATTCAAAGGCTTTGTGGTTGTTGCCTTCAGCGATTTTTAGCTTGAATTTGATCATTTTATGTGTATTGCTCTGCCACACCCCCTCCCCCTTCTTTTAAAATAAATCTTCAATGACCTCTCTCTCTCTCTCTCTCTCTCTCTCTCTCTCTCTGTGCGTGTGCGTGCGTTTGTGCCGTGCGTTTTGGTTTCCAATTTTGCTAATCAGAAATTTGTTTCTCTGAAAATGATTTGTGAAAAAACCCATCCTACTGGACTGCCAGTGCAAATTGTAATCTTTAGACTTTATATGCTTTTATAATGCGAGGTGCTTTGCATTTGGGAATGTTGTTTAGGTTCAGCTATGTGAAAATTGGGAGCTGAGGCTGGAAATGGTTACTATGGATTGTAATGGTTGTGGATGTTTTAACTATTAAATTTGTTTGTGAATTTGAGCTAGTACATTAATGTTTTTGAGCCCTTAAATCATGAGAATGAAGTTCAATGAACCATCAGTGGTTGTTTCTGCTGGCAGCCTTTAACTCCTAAACCATCATAACTCAAACAATACATTTTCTTTTTACCTTGACGCTTATTGGTTTGCGTGGAAGCAACGCGTGGGATATCTTAGAGTGTGCTTAAAACTTCAGAGAAAATGAAAGTTTATGAGTGGAAGACTGGAAGTGCATTCACAGAGTTATTGTTGGTTAGAATTTGATTAGACTATCAGAATAAATTACAGCTGTACAAAGCCAATTGAAGATATTGCATATTCTTTACTTCAAAATTCTTTTGTCTTGAACATACCTGATGGACATTGAACTGCATATTTTCAAACGCATTAATTATGTGAAAGGATTTTCTGAATATTTGATATCAGAGAACCGATCCTATAATTGTAGATTATTTCTTGTTTAATGAACTAGATTAATTTAATTTTTAAGCTTTTTTGTTCCAGAAAAGAATCTTCTCTTAATCTACAGCTCCAAAGTCATGGACATGCACAGCGTTGTATCCCTTCCGTAGTTGAGGTGGTGAAAGGGTTGCCTGTGTAGTACTAATAGCCCCTAGATCTGACTTATAATCAACGACATTATGCACTTACGTTTTGTTTGTCTGGTTCTTATGATAAATAAGTTATAAGATCATTGCACATTTAATTTATTCTCACACGTGAGTTTCTTGAAGGTACCTGAGGTTTAAACCTTTTTATTCAGTTACAGATTCTGTCAGCACATATTCCCATTTGAGAACTGTTATTGAAAAACCGGGCATGCTTATCATGAATACTGCAGCCTTTTCCAGCAATAGGAAATTCCCTGCCTGCAGGGGAAGTGTTACTTCATTCAAAAACAGGAATGGATCTTTGTTTGTCTCATGTGTGAAGACTTCTGACACTACTTTGACAGCAAAGTCTAATGGTGGGTTGTTTAATCAAATGATCGTGAAGAATGGAAAGAAATGGGTGCGACTGGATACAATTTCATTCAACACTTTTTTCCTATACGATTTCTTTTTAAAAAAGCACTATTCAGTTACTTTTACCTTTTCTCCCACTAATCACTTATGTGCGTTTTTAAAATGATAACCATCCGATCAGTAATTAGGCATAGACTTTTCTTTTAATAATTTTTGCTGTTCANCTTGAACACTCAAACGACATGATTTCACTCCTGAAAATGCTGAGTTCAAGTATAGTATGTGTAATGAATTTCTGTTTAGTAGCTGTTACTAGGAATGGAAAGCGTGACTTTTTTTCTTCTTCTTTTCTTTAATATGAGGGCGGTGAATGATCACTATAATACCTAAGAAATATGCATTTTATTAATCCATTTATTAATTTGTCATCAGTTCTTAGTTCCTCACAGTTTTGCTATTGTGGAGTTGATCCATTTGTTTATGAAATTTATTCCATTAGCAAAATTGCTTCAGAAACATATTGTGTTAATTGATTTACAAAGATATTCGAAGAGCTGTTTTAGTATCATTTTGGAGGTTCTCTTCATTCACCTAAAAGATTATTATTCCATTGGTTCGGAAGGCTCTCACACTTTTCCTTCAAATATAGTTACAAGGCCCTAATCATAACTATGCATACTTCCAATTATTATATATGCAAAATCTATTTAAACTGTGTACTCATATTTTAACGAACATATTATGATATAGAAGTTGAATAACCAGCAAACCTGTAAACTGATCATATTCATTCCAATGTCTCTGAACCTTTTGTCATGAAGCATACCACGTTCAACAATATACAAATGGAACAAATATATTTTACATTCGCAAAATGTATTCTTTCCCAAAACACTTGATGCCATTAAAAATGGCTTTTCATTACCCTGAAATGGACAAACACAATTTGCCTTGAAATGTCTCATGTTTGCCAGCAAAGTTTTGTTCTTGGCATTTCCAAAATTCCACATTTCCGGCATTCACATTTGCTCTAATCCCTTTTCATTACAGGTTGGAACCTTTGAAATCCATATGAAGCGGAAAATTGATGGCCCAGCTATCCCTGCACCTGTTGCTCCCCAAGCATCTGCACCACCAGTTCTGAGCAAACCTGATCCAACTCCAGTTGCCCTCCAACCCTTGCCTAATCCTTCTTCAGAAAAGGTCAGCCCATTCACAAATGTCTCAGTGGAGAAGGCAGCCAAGCTGGCGGCCCTAGAGGATTCTGGATTCAGCAGCTATGTTATTGTTCCATCACCCTCGGTATGAATGTCATGACGCTTTGAGATTAATCATTAATTGCGTCCTCATGCTGAGGTGGTAGCGGTACGTAATTGACCCTCCTTCAAATTCCTTTTTCTACTAGGTGGGTTCTTTCCGAAGAGCCATGAAGCTTAAAGGAAAGGAGTCCCGCCAACCGGCTTGTAAAGTGGTACTACCTGAGAACAATTTTCTCGGTCTAGCTATATGACACACCCCTTAATTACGTTATGTTCAAGTGCATGACTTGTTTTTATGGGTGTGTATCATTTTTGTTATTAATGTCTATAGTGAAGTGTGGAAGGATTTTTCATTAAAGAAAATGAACATTGTTTGTTGCTTTACTCCTTGCTGATTAAGTTGCTAGAGATATTCTCAATGGACTATACTTCATGGACCACTTTATAGCCTGATTTAGTATAGCTGAAGATGAAAGGTAGAATCCATAGGAATCAATGAGTCATCCCTATTGCTTTGTCTGATAGGGTTGTGTTTTTATTATGCCTTTTGATGTGTTTAGCTTCATCCATGAGAACAGTGGTTGGAAAGGTTTGGTTCTCAGTTTTTGTTCCTTGTCTTCTTGTTGCTTCTTGACCTAAAGTTTTGTTATTTATGCTTCCATGTATCATGTATGTGTAATTTATGTGTGTGTGTGTGTGTGTGTGATATTTGAGGACTATTTGCCACATTGGAAAGTTTTGCTGCATTTTGATGCTAAGTGATTGGCTTAGCGATATGAAGTTTTATTGGTGCATGATTTGACCTGTTTCCTTGCACTCAGGGTGATATGATCGAGGAAGGCCAGGTGATAGGCTTTCTGGATCAGTTTGGCAGACAACAACCTGTCAGGGTATGACTCACTATTTATCTTAGTGTCTGATGACTTCCTTTACGTTAATACATAATAATGACCATTCTTTTTTCTATCTTCTGATCAGTCAAGTGTGGCGGGAGAAGTCTTGAAGTTCCTTTACGTTGAGGGTGGTAAGTCTGTTCTTATTTAATTTTTTTCTGTTTATTTTCTTGCATGTCGATTATTTACTTTCCCTGTTGAGTTTCTTTTGACTGGTGACTAAAATTTTAGCCATTGCATCAAGCTGGAAAGCAAAAAAAAGAATTACTAGGGAAAACAAAAGGATGAGAAAAAGAAAGCTGAGCTTATATGTGTGTGATCAGTTTAAAATAATATCTGGTCTATTAACTAATGGGAGAATGTATGTTCTGCAACCTGGCCATAGTTTATGTTGATTTACCAGAATGCCATTGCTTACTCTATTGTTTAATTTTCTTTGCTTGTCTGTTGCCTCGTGTTATTCAATCTTTAGTTCCTCTACATGCACAAATATATTTGTATGCTGTTCAAATACAAGTTTTCTTATTCTTAGTTTATGTCCATTTTCAGAAGCTGTGGGTTTTGGAGATCCCATCATTGCCGTCTTGCCTTCTTTTCATGGTATCAAGTGAAATTAGTTGCTTTCCGTTGAGTTTTTAAGGGTCTCTTAATCAATTTCGTAGAGATCTATTTTCGTTGTATTCCTATATCTCCAAAATCAAGGGTGGCTTTTAGCCAGTGATGCCAGCCTACATTTTGTTGGATAAGAAGTGTGGAATGAGAAAGAACTCATCTGAATTAGACAATCGCATTTGTTGTTATCTTTTCGTCTGTTTATTCGGTTAATTTGGAATCATGTGGGTGCTGTATAAACCATCAAATGCATTAAAAATTGCTTGTCATTTTATTTTATTTTTCTCTCATTTAGTTCAGAATTCTTACTGTTGCCACTTAAGGGACAATTTCTTACCTCTATGTGAACACCATAGTAACATGATAGCTGCCGCACCACGTTAATATTAACAAGCATTACAAGAACTTCTATTGCACGCTCGGAAACGAGCATTTTTTTTATATTATTAACTTAATGAAGAAAATCTGGTACAATACTCCTATTATACACACACACACACCACACATTACACACTAAACACACGTCAAACATTCAGATTTAAATACATAACACAACTAATCCCGCCTACGCTAACCACTAATAACTTCTAGGCCGTCGCGGCGCAACACCATTCCCAGCCCTTAGCCTCTGTCGTCGTGACAGTTCTCGCGACTAAGCTCGCGGTGCGATTCTTTTTGTACCGTCAAGCGTGGCACCCAAGGCTGCTCCCATGTTCTGCCATTGTGACGGTCTGTTCGTTGTGCGGGGCTTCTATCTTGTCGTGGCGCGACGGTCGTCGTGGTGCGACACCCTAACAATATGGCACTTGTTCTTTAAGTTGTGCACGTCCAGCCGGGCAGTATGCATTCTTCAAACGACAACCCTCATATGCATCATTCCCATCCCCTTCAAGAGTGTCCTTGTCCTCAAGGACAAAATCTAGAAATTGATTACGCAGATCTTGTAATTTTTCCTAAGTTGTGTCCTCTTCCGGTAACTCCTCCCACTCGATCAAGACTTCCCAACTAAGCGACCCGCCTTCTTATTCCTTTGATACTATAATGCTCGAGCCGGCTCATAGTGCCTTCAGGGTTCACAACCGACAATCTTGCATGAGCAATGTTCACCCAAACTCTTCTTTCATTGAGATACGTAAATAACTGAGTGAATTTGATACTCCGCCCGTAAATAGAGTCGATAGGGCACTTCACCCAATGTTGGATCAAGAGTTAGCATAGGGTGAGTGTAGAAGAACGTGTATCACTACAACAAAAAAGTTGGCTGAAATTCTATATAAGACTATAGGATTGACATCTATATTAACGGTACTACGGTAGACTTCTTGAGAAGGTCCTCTTGACTCACATACTGACATACGATCATATAAGATATAACATTTCTTAAATCAATCAATCAATCAACAAGTCGTTAAAATCCCACTAAGTGAGATCGGTTATATGGATCACATGGTGCAATCATGCTCGATCAAAACACATATCTTCAGTCAAATTTAAATATTTTAAATTATTTTTATTATCTATTTCCAAGTTTTCATAGGTCTACCTCTCCCTCTTTTAATGTGTGTTATTAATTCTAATATTTCTACCCTTCTCACTAGGGCCTCAAAGACTCCTACGCACATGCCCAAACTATCTTAATCGTGATTCTTTCATTTTCTCCTCTATGGGCGCTACTCCAACTTTATTTATAATACTTTCATTTCTAATTTTATCTACCCTAGTATGCACACAAATCCATCTCAACATTTTGATCTCTGTCACTTGCATTTCTTATCATTTTCATATTTAGTAGCCCAACACTCAGATCCATAAAGTATCGTCGGTCGAATGGCCGTTCGATAGAACTTGCCTTTCGAACTCACCGGTACTTTACGATCACAAAGTATCGAGAAACGCTCCTCCACTTGTTCTATCCCGATTGAATTCAATGTGTTACATCCTTATCTATGTTGCAATTATCTTCCAGAATGGATCCTAAATATTTGGAACATATAGATGTGTTCAATTCGTGTTTCCCAATTTTAACCTTTACCCCATTATTACTCTTTTGATTACTAAAATTATACCCTATACATTCCATTTTGACGCTACTTATTTTGAAATCTTTTGTTTGAAGCGACTCCTCCAAGTTTTCTAACTTAGCATTTACCCTCTCTCTCGTATCATCTACTAACAATATGTCATACGCAAACAACATACAATCGGTAACATCCAATTGCAAATGCTTCGGTGACATCCAGTTTCTTAAAAATTTTAGTAAAATCTCAAAAGGTAAAAGAACTCATACAACTACCAAAGGTCATAATTCATTGCAAATACTATCTCTATAGTCTTCATAAGTTGAAGAAATACTTTCAAACTCGAGCCCAACCACGACCACTATGATTGTAACATAGAACTGTCAAAATTTCTTTAACAACAGTCAAAGGTGAAAAACAAGTTTATACTAAAAGTTCATCGACAATCACTACTTGTAAATATGTATCGAGAAACAAGTTCCAGCAATAACTTGTACACCAAATGGCAATGTGATAAAGAATGCAACAAGATATAAATAGGCGAAAAACAAGAATTATCATTCCATCCACATTACTGCAGCGAGATACGATGATAAGATGAACTCCCTGAATCAAATAAATACGTAAGAATCTTTAGACTTGCACAGAGAGTAATAGGTCACAGAAATTACACTCTGGATTCCTGGATGGACATCAAGAGCCAACGCCCAACTGAAAATGCCCAAAGTACATAAGAACCTAATACTAATACCATCAATCCAAAAATAGTAAAATTCAATCGAATGAAGCTCATATAAGGAACATTAACCTAATAAGCACTATTGTACCGTCTAGGTTGAAGAAAATCTAGCAGATCAGATCAGATCAGATCGGATCCAGATCAAACGCGCGTGGCAACAACAGGCGCGGCTGTGCCGCCTAGGAAGGAAAGAAATCCAGATGTAGCCTGCTCCTGATCGTCCAAAAAAAGATCCTCGGGCATCCTGAAAGCCCCATGCGCACAGATCACAGCAAGACCAACGAGCAAAGCGGATATGAGCAGCGATCCGACGGTGGTGAGGAAAACCACTACTACGGTGGACACCACCAGGATCCCCAAGATCTCGCGGTCCGAGAAGGTGCGGCCTGCGAGGACGACCGGCTGATCCGAGGGGCGGAACAGGTAAAGGAAGATCCACGCGGCGAGGAGGGAGAGCAAGACGAGAAGAGAGAAAGGGTGGGAGAGAAGAGAGAGGGCGAGGGAGAGGGCGAGGAGGGAGAGGTAGTTGACGCGGAAGTAGGAGAAGTTCTTGCGGACACGGGAGGCGGCCTCGGAGAGGTTTTCGGGGCGGGAGAAAGCGGAGCGGTCGATGAGCTCTGACCAGGGGCGACGCTGGGAGAAGCCGTCGCGGATGGTAGCGTTGAGACGGGATACGAAGGCGCCAAAGGCGGGGGTAGCGATGGGAGGCTGGGATTCGGATTGCTGGTTGGAGATCGGGAGCGTCGCCATTGTCGAACAAATTTTATTAATGGCCCCTCCTCTCTTATTATTTGTATTAGCCGATAGATGGATAGATAGATGGTAACTACGCGCTTTCCATTGTGTGGCCGTATTTTACATAGGTAGCCTAAAAACTTTTAATCATAATCTATATCTATATATATATATATATATAGGGTCGCGCTCCGGTGAGAATAGTACTCAATGAAAGAAATAAGAATAAATCCTAGCCACCGGATCGGATAATCTAGTGGCTTAAAAAAATCCAATATTAAAAACACAGTAAGGGTATTAATGTAATTTGTGCTCAAAATTAATGTGTGCCCACCCCATTCTCACTCCATTATCGGTTCCCCCACCCATCCCACCACAGACACACACACACACACTGCGCAGGGTAGCCCGCCGTCCGTTCCTCATCGCCGGCGAGATTCTGCCGTCTTCCTCCCCGAACATCCCCGCACTTTCGCCCGGAATAAAAATGCGCCGTCGATCTCCTCCAATTGTTCCTCCATCTCCGTCACACCTTCCTCCCGCGGCTCATTACTCTAAGCAGCTCCGACCGACCACCTTATCGCCGCCGTCTGGTCCGACGCCGGAGCTCTCATCGCCATCGTCCTCCATTAAACGGCCACTGACTGTAACGTCTTGTCACCTTCCTCCGCCGCATAGCCCAGCCGTCTGCAAGTGTTGAGCGTGAAGACACCTCCGACCGACCATCTTCACCCTGGTGGTCGTCATTCCTTCCCGTTGTGGTCGCCTTTCCTCCGCCGTCCACCATCGGAGAAGACGACCTGCTATGGTCACTTACAGAGAAGACGAACCTCTATTCACTGGATCGGCCCAATTCTGGTTGCAATGTCCGATCAATTATCGAAACCAAAATTGATGAACTTGGTCGCCGGCGAGGTCTTGGCGGGACAGAGAACGCCCGGAATGTTCGACGGCGTCAATTACAGTGGCTGATGTGATGAGGAGACCATTAACAGAGATTGAAATTGGGGGGTTTGTGTTTTGAAAATTTGATATTCTATAGGGGCTGGATTGCAATTTTCAAAAATTTAAATATATTACAATTTAATTATTGGGTCAAATTTGCAATTTATTAGAAATGTAATAAATGCAAACTATATTCAATTAAAATAAGTATACTATGTGTATATGCACATTGCAAATATCATCACTACAAACTACAATAATAATAATAAACCAATAAGCAATTTATTTAATATAAATTATTAAATAAAAAATACTAATATTAAATATATATTCATAATATACATAATAATTCATTAAGAAGGATTATATTAATTTGATGGACTGATCGAATGACTATTGTTTTTCAAGGAACAATAATATAACATATTAAATAACAAAATTACAAATATTAAATATATTTTTATAATAAAAAAATTGATAAAACTTTAACATGAAAAATTTTAATATACAAAAAATATATCACTAATAAATATACATTTATAATAATAAATAATAAATTATTTTAATTATTTAGGTTAGTTTGATGTACCATTATATCTACTAAATATAGTTTTAAAAAAACATACTTTATATGCGCTCATATAAAGTAGTGCACTTTATATATCAACACGATGCACTTTATAAAACAACATGTTGCACTTTATCAACACACTCCACAATTAATGTCAACAGCTACCGTCAAAATATTTGGCTATATAAATCTAATCATTAGATCTACATAATACTTTAATATTCATCACATCATCTATACAATAAAAAAAACATATGCATGCTAACGTACCAAAATTCCGATATTGCACTTTATATATCAATACGTTGCACTTTATACAACAATACATTGCACTTTATAACATAAAATGTTGCACCTTATAAAATAAGGCGTTGCACATAAATTTTTTTTACATATATATTGGTTTAATTATCTGTTTGTAAGTTTAAAAATTTTGGTATCTCAGACTGTTGTCAGCTTTATTGTTTAAAATAATCGAACCGACCGACAAAAAAAAAAAAGTATTTTGATTTACAAAAAAAAAATGATATAAGATATTCAATAAAAACATTAAAATACTAAATATATTTAGGATTTAGTTTGGTTTGAGATAAATTGTTAAAAAATATATACACTTCGAGTGCACCTTAGCGTTAAACGAATTGCACGTTGATGATTGTCAGATTGCACCATACCGATCGAAATCGAGCGAACTAAGTTTTTTGTCTATAATTTATATGTTGGTTCGATTATCTATTTTTACCTTTAAAATTTTAGTTATTTCAGTTTGATTGCATATTTAATTTTTAAAATAACCGAGACCAAATTATATAAAAAAACATTATTTTTTGTAATTTTTTTTGTAATCTTTTTGTTTAAAATAATATTCTTAAACCAAAAAAATATAAAATGATAGATAAAGTATAAAAATAATAAATAATATTTTAATTTCATTTATTTCGATTAATTTAATTAGCCGATCAAATAAGCTAGTTAATTGTGTTCGGCATTAAATTACTTTGAAACAAAAGATCGGTTAATTTAGATTGCACAATAGCGATTGGAAGTTTGCAGAATACCTTTAAACGGATTGCACATTAATGTATGTTGGGATGCACATTATTGGGCATTTTATTTAATATTATTGTGCATGTATTGATTTTATTAAATTACATAGTCGCCTCAAATATTAAATTATAATATTATATTTTTATAAAAAAAATTAATTTTTATATAATTTTTATATAGTTCGACTTATTTTTTAAAATAACCAAAATAAACGAACAAGCCGAACAATATAAAACTATTATTACTATTTTTTTTAGTTTTTTATGTATAACGTTGCACATTAAAGTTATACAAATTGCACATTAGTGACTATTAAATTGCACCACATCAAACGAAACCGATTTAACCAAGTAACCTTAACCTCTTTTCATTTGGGAATATATTTTTATTCATATCAACAAATTTTATCAAAATAAAATTTAAACTAAATATTTAACAGTTAGCTACTTTTTTCAACCGTCAACAACTTATATTAGCCAGCTACATGTGTATTTGGGAATGATACATGGACAGAAGTCTCAAACTTTGTTCCAGAAAAAAATAAAAATAAAAAAAGTGCCTGAAATTCCCAATTATTTTTTGAAATTCCCAATTAATTAAAAATAAAAACAAAAAATGAAAATGGAGAATTTGTACTTCAATACCACTAATACCTTAACCTCTCCAATAGCCGTTATCCATAATCAGATTACTGTCATAAACTGTGAAGCAACAAAGGAGGACTAATTTTACACTAAATCTGGTGGCTTTTTTTTACACTACATACACTAGCGAACTATCCGACTATGGTGATTTCACATTGAAAGCAGTGAAATCCGCCACCACTGATTCCCCCCAGTTGAAAATATACTCAATTTTCTTAATGTGCAACAAGCCCCTATAAGATATCTAATTTCCAAATACCAGGCCCCCAATCTCAAACACACGCAGGCCACAACAACATCACCGCCTTCACTCGAACAGTCCGCCGGTGACCGGGAAACGTGTCGGTGGCCATCAATCAGTCCCAACCGCACTGAAATCGAACACAAATCTTAAATTGATTTACCGAAATATGAATTTAGGTGTTTACAATTGGTGCACAATTTAAGTATTTACAATTCGTGGAGAAGATGAGTGGCGGAGGAGGCAAACTATACGTGATGGCTACTGCGATGGCGAAGTCCGGCGACGAAAATCGGAGGCGGAAGAATCGTCGGAAAAAGCTTGTTCGACGGTGGCGCCGAGTTCCATGGTGGAGTTCGTGACGCCGAGGAGGGGATGACGTAGATGTAGACCGAAGTTATTCTGCTGCCATGGGGTGCGTGCTCCCGCCATCAACCGCCGCCGTGAGGCTGTGTGAGCGACGATGAGGGAGGGAGAGAGATACAAGCGAGAGAGAGATACAGAGATGGAGAGAGATATTTGACCGATAATGGTGTGTGTGGGGCCCATTGTCATGTGTGGTAAATGTGTAATGTCCATATTGTCCTTAATTATTAGTCAAATATATCTGTTTGACCACAATTTCTGTTAATTTACTAGAATCCCATTAATGATTGACTAATTTTTGACTTGATCATAACCATTTATTTGATAGATCCAGCGGTATCGATTCATTCTTATTTCTTTCACTATCTACCATTCTCATATGATCCCATCTATATATATATATATAGAAGGGATCATATGAGAAAGAAAGATAATGAAAGAAATAAGAATAATTATACACCATTAGATTCATTAAATTAATGGTCATGATGATGTCAAACTTGGTCAATCATTAATAGCAATTTAATAATTATTTGAATTATTTTGACCAAATATGTACATTTGACCAATAATTAAGGGTAAGTTAGTCATTATACATATACCACATGGACCCACAATTTATTTATATTCACCTATCACATATCCCACACAATTTCACACACACACACACACACTTCAGCGGGCACGGCGGAAAATCAGCCCCAAATCACCGGTTACCGCCGACGCCGCCGCCGTACCGCCGCCGCTACCATCACGGCGACCGCCGTCGGCCATCCCCATCAGCGCCCTCTACCTCCCCTCCTCCCGGACACAGCCGGGGTCAACCTACCACAAACCACCGGCCACTGCCATTAGCCAAATCTCTCCCATCGCTGCCCGAAGTCGCCGTCGCCGCCGCTACCATCCCGTCGATCGCCGCCAGCCATCCCAGCACCGCCACCACCGTCACCTGCCCCTGTCTCAACCTCGCTCAGCCTGCCAGTCGAACGTCCCAACTCCCGATTTGACGGCGTGGGAGACGATAGATCCGGGTGTTGCAGACGTTAGTAGAGGGACGGCGATCTTGACTGGA